GCGTCAGGATAACATCGGAAAACTTGGTTAATCAAATTTTGTGGCTCTCTCATAAAAAAATTTTTTTGATCTTGACTCTCAGTCGGTTAGCGGTTGTAAAAACTGAGTCATATTGGGGCTTGAGTAGCCATCTTTCCCTTTCTGTATCTGTGTAGGACCCTTTTTTAAGTGGGGCCCAATATGGACGTTGTTCTGATTTTGTTTTTTGGGATAGGAGAAGAAAAACTTTGGGTTTTTTTCGTTTCATTTGGCTTTTAGTTCTTCCCCCATTCCCGACCCTTTAAAAGGGTTCTTTAGCTTAAGTTCGATGCTTTCTATTTCTTGACCAGGTCTCCCCCGCCATTTTGATATATTGACTCTTTTAGCCGCTTGTTTTTTCTTTTCCCTGCCCTTTAAAGGGGCGCTGTCTCTTTTTTTTAAATTCCCTCCCTTTTTTTTAGAGGTAAAGCCCTTTTGGGATACATGGGCACCGGTTAATTGTTTGGGATAAGTTTGGGTTGTGTTGTTTTATCTTCCCGTTTATCGGTTAGGACTTGGTTTACTTGGTCCCACTTTATGTTTTTGTTTTTTGAAGTTGAATTTGGGGAATGTCCCCCGTGACTAGTCTCATTTTGTCGGTCTGGGCTCCCCGTACATGTTGAACCCCAATTTGTTGTGTCTGAGTATATTTTTTTTGTTTTGGTGACATTTTTACAGTTACATTTTTAGTGAGTGGGTCTGTGTATTCTCCCGTCTAGTGGCTTTATTTGGGGTTTTTAAAAATTTAATTTTTTTTCGAGATTTAAAAACTCGTGTGAGTACTTGTGTAAAAAAAAGTTTTATTTATTATATTATTTTATTATCTGAAAGAGGTAAGCTGACCCGAAAACTGAGGAACCCCCTTCACCCTCATTCTTCAATATGTTCTGCCAAAAATGCTGCATCACAGCTCAGGTGAACGGAAAAGCAGGTGTAAGGTGATATTTAAAGGGACCTATTTTTTGTGGTGAACATGGACAGCAGGTGTAAAGGGAATAACACCCCGGGACCTATTTTTTTGCTAGGGAAACTGGACAGCAGGTGTAAGGTGACTAAAACCCCCGGTACCATTTTACTGTAGGGGGAAAGGGACAGCAGGTGTAAAGGGGAAACATCAGATCCCCGTTTTCTGTAGGTAAACAGGGACAGCAGGTGTAAGGTGACTAACACTCAGATACCCGTTTTATGTTAGGGAAAATGGACAGCAGGTTTTAAGGTGACTAAAAATCAGTACCCCGTTTTACTGGAGGTAAAAAAATGGACGCAGGTGTAAGGTGACTAAAAACCCCGGTACCCGTTTTTTCTGCTAAAGGTAAACAGGGGACACAGGTGTAGGGGACTAACCCCAGGTACCTATTTTTTGCTAGGCGAACAGGGACAGCCATGCGAAAATAAATAAAAAACCCCCGGGCCCACTCACCTTTTGGTGAAAAAGTCGCAATTGTCTTAGGGAAAATCCTAATATTTCCCCCTGTACGGGGTCGAACCACAAAGTGTGGCTGAGTGCCCTACCAACCCAACTACGGGCATATTTCTATACATATAAAGCATTTATGTATACCTCCCCAAACAAACATACTTTACCATCCACAACTTTTAAATTAAGTTTTTTTTTAAAATAATGCCCGTTTTCTGTGTTACGATAGGTTCCCATGAAACCGTCCTCTCCAGTTAACCAAAACATAAACAAATGGGGGGGAAAATTTGTAGTGGTTTTTTTGTGAGTTAACTCCCTCGTTTTTTTTCTTTTTAATAGGTTGAATTTTTCCTTTATATGGGGCTCAAATAATTTGCCATGTCGGGGGTTTTAAAATTTACTTTTGTATACAAAACTTTGCTCAAATTAGGTAGAAGTTAGTTTTTATTTAGGTCTAATACACAAATTTAAATTAAGGGGTCGTTTTTTCTAATGTTGTACAAATTATCCAAAGGGAATTCTGAAAAAATACAGAATTGCGGGCTATGGTTATCACGTAGGCCTATGGTTTCACAGAGGCCCAGGTTCATCACAGTAGGCCTACTGGTTCACAGTAGGCCTACTGGTTCACCACAGCAGGCCTACTGGTTCACCACAGCAGGCCTACTGGTTCATCACAACAGGCCTACTGGTTCATCACAGCAGGCCTACTGGTTCATCACAGCAGGCCTACTGGTTGACCACAGTAGGCCTACTGGTTCACAGCAGGCCTACTGGTTCACCACACCAGGCCTACTGGTTCACAGCAGGCCTACTGGTTCATCACAGCAGGCCTACTGGTTCACAGCAGGCCTACTGGTTCATCACAGCAGGCCTGCTGGTTCATCACAGCAGGCCTACTGGTTCATCACAGTAGGCCTACTGGTTCATCACAGTAGGCCTACTGGTTCATCACAGCAGGCCTACTGGTTCACAGCAGGCCTACTGGTTCATCACAGGCCTACTGGTTCACAGCAGGCCTACTGGTTCATCACACTAGGCCTACTGGTTCATCACAGCAGGCCTACTGGTTCACCACAGCAGGCCTACTGGTTCATCACAGCAGGCCTACTGGTTCATCACAGTAGGCCTACTGGTTCACCACAGCAGGCCTACTGGTTCACCACAGCAGGCCTACTGGTTCATCACAGCAGGCCTACTGGTTCACCACAGCAGGCCTACTGGTTCACCACAGCAGGCCTACTGGTTCATCACAGCAGGCCTACTGGTTCATCACAGTAGGCCTACTAGTTCATCACAGTAGGCCTACTGGTTCATCACAGGCCTACTGGTTCATCACAGCAGGCCTACTGGTTCATCACAGTAGGCCTACTGGTTCATCACAGCAGGCCTACTGGTTCACAGCAGGCCTACTGGTTCATCACAGTAGGCCTACTGGTTCATTACAGCAAGCCTACTGGTTCATCACAGCAAGCCTACTGGTTCATCACAGCAGGCCTACTGGTTCATCACAGCAGGCCTACTGGTTCATGACAGTAGGCCTACTGGTTCATCACAGCAGGCCTACTGGTTCATCACAGCAGGCCTACTGGTTCATCACAGCAGGCCTACTGGTTCATCACAGTAGGCCTACTGATTCATCACAGTAGGCCTACTGGCCTGTTATAGGCCAGCAAACAACATGTCTACATTGGTTGCAATAAGCACAATTGTATGATCACAGAAGGGGTCAGGAGCTGTGACTCAACCCTTGCTTCCACAGATAGATGAGTACAAGTGGTATGTCTCTCAATGTACATACACTGAAATGGGTTACAGGTAACCCATTTCAGGTACCTATTTACTGCTAGGTAAACAGGGACAGCAGGTGCTGTCCCTGTTTATAAACCTAGCAGTAAATAGGTACCTGGGTCTTAGTCAACTATTGACTTTATTTAGGTGCAGATACACATAAATAGTTACACAAATTAGCATACATAGTAACTTATGCAAAATAACCACAAGAGTTGAATGGTAGCTCTAGGTCTTTTGTGTTGCAGTAAACAGATCATCAGGAGCTTGCAATGTTGTAGAAATGAGTAGGAGATCCAAGCAGATTCATTCAGGGGGAACGTTTTTTCTCAGATTCGATCATAAATGCTCCCCTGAATGAATCTACCTGGACTTCCTACTCATTTCTGCAACATTGCAAGCTCCTGATGATGTGTTGATTGCAACACGAAAGTACTGAGTTGTCATTCAAATCCCCCTGTGGTTATTTTGCATCTTGTATCACTTGTACGTGATTATTGCTTATAGTACATATGTGTCAATTACCTGGGGAAAGAGACCAGAAGGGATTCAATGTAGTGTCTTCCCTGTGGAGCAAATTTTTCTCCAACCCCCGGGGGCGTTGTCCCCGTTCTCAGGGGTCAGCAACCTCTCAAGGGAGCTAAGATTCCTCCTGTTACCTTCCCATACTGTGGAGGATAAAAGGGGGTTATGACCTGTACCCTTTGCATTAGCAGAGATCAAGAAGATCCACATTCCCTGTTATTCCTGAGCTGCTCTAGTTTTAATCCCGGTCTCTTATTCAGTAGTGTCAAAAGCCTTCTTGTAGTCCATAAATACAGCCTCTTTGCACTTAATGACAGAGTTGCGTTCCTAAGATCACATCGGTAAACAAATTCATTGCTAAGCAAGGAGCATACATGTACTATAATGGTAGTGGCTTTGTGTCATCCATCTTTGACATTGCTTAATGTAATTTTTGCACCATTTATAACATTTTTGGTATATTTTTAAATGTTTATACAGTAGTGTACTGTATATTGTAATAAACAGAATATAGGAAATCAGCTCTAATATACATTATTTAGGTAAGCATACTGGTCATAGCCCATCGCAAGTTCAAGTCGTCGGTAAATGAGTACAATCAAACCTCGGTTTTTGTATGCCCTAGTTTGTGTGTAAAATTATAGTTATTCTCTATAAAATGTATTTTTTATTATTCTTTCCGATAAGAATTAGTGTAAATTCAATTAATCTGTTCCAGACACCCAAAAAATATTAACTAAAAATACATTTTATAGAGAATAACTATAGTTTTACATGCAAACTAGGGCATACGAAAGCCAAGGTTTGACTGTACGTTGCTAAGTGAGGAGAAGCTGTATACAATCCATTCATCCCTCTCTCTCTCTCCTTCCTCACTTTTGTTACCGTGTCACAGAACTCTAGTAGGTTTGCGACTTACCGTCTCTAGCTTGTGTTGATTGTTATGAACTTGTTCCTTTCCAGGTGCTCCACCACTCTTTTGATAATCTTCTCTGTAACCTTAAATACTATGCACATTATTGTTCCTAACTATATAATGATTTGCTTACCATTTGACAAAGACAAAGATTTGTTAAATTCATGGTACTGTACTCTATTAAAGAAAATAAGGCACAGTACTGTGACTGGAACAATACACGAATAACCCGCACATAGAAGAGAGGAGCGTATGACAATGTTTCAGTCCAAGTCCGACCAAAATGTTGTCATAAGCTTCTCCCGCCTATGTGCGGCATATTTCTGTACTGTACTCTATTGTACTGTGAAATCTCAGTTTTTTGTACTTTGAAATTTTCTTATTCTTTAGGTAATGTAGAACGTCATGATTAGGTACAATGAATTTACCCGTTATGCGCCGTGGGTTATCACCAGAGGGACGCAAGATACGTGAGCGTCACCAGGGAACTCTCACCATTGGCATTCAAGGCACAACAGTACAACCAACTGAACGAGGTAAGTTACTGTATTTTTATTTTACTGTATTTTTATCCAAGAATGAAAGTAACTGCAGATTATTTCTAATTCATTTGTGATATTTCAAAAACTTGATGACAAAACAGTTAAATTTTAGTACTGGGTTTAGCACACATCTTTATGAATATACAGTAGAAAACCCCCGTATCCGTGGATTCAATTTCCACAGTTTCAATTATCCGCAATTTATTGTCTCCTGAAAATAACCCTTAATTTTGCTTAATAATGACCCCGAAGTGCAAAAGTAGTGATGCTGGCAGTTCTTCAGAACCTAAGAGAAGCTTTGAATTGCTTCTTGATTTATTGTACATAATTTATCAATTAAACTTTATCATAGGTATGTAAGTGAAAAATGGCATATATATAGGGTTTGCTGCTATCCGTGGTTTCGGTATCCATGGTAGGTCTTAGAATGTATCCCCCGCAGATACGGGGGGACTACTGTAACAGTACTCTTCATGGGGTAATGTGATGTTGGTGATAGGTTCTTCATCCAAGGAACTGGAACTACCTTAGATCAAAGCTGATTACCATTCATTCATCAGGTGCAGTACAACTTATGGGTGTACTGCTTCCTATGAATATTAATACATATTTTAATAATAATAATAATAATAATGTTGCATTTAACAGATAGAACTCATCATAACTTTTTACAAGACAATGTAAGGCGACTGCATGAAATACAAGCACGCTGTAAGGAACGAGACAACCACAAACGATCTCAACCATTAAAAGCAACAAGAGAAAGTTCAGCAAGCACCTCTTCATCTGTGAGACAGGTAACTTCTCTACCTATACAGCAGTAAAAAAAAATTATTTTCAGTCTTTCACAAAAGACCTGTGTGTCATGCCAGATTTGTTTTACCAAACTGATGGAATAATTTGTTTCAGGGGAGTGCCTTGGTACCTGTTCGAAACGGCTCTGCTAAACTTGTTAGATGCCAGAATTCAGAACGGGGAGGAAGTGCACATTCAGACTATTTCTCTCTTACGGAGGAACAAATTGAACCTCTAATCACTCAACCCTCTCAGCGTTACCTCTCGGAGCATAGTGGACTAGTTTCATCAGATAACAATGCAATTTCTGATAGTAAATGCAGTGGAGAGAATATTTTAAATTATCCAAAAAACTTAAATCAAGACAATCAGATACTTCTAAAAAACTCCCATATTTCAAATTCTCAACAAAGGTCTAGATCAGGAAGCCCAGTTATTCTCAAGCCTATTACTTCAAAACTCGTGCAAACCATGCCTACATCTGTGGTTCCTACATTAAAACAAACATCTGGGACTGATCAGATGTTTCTTATTGAAAGTGAGTTAACCCAGGGAATGAAGAAAATGAGACTGGATAATTTAATGTCAAAAATCAAAAGTCAAAAACCCTCTTGTGAATTAGATTATAACCTTCATTATAAGACCATTGAGCATCAACATAAGATGTTACTTGACAGTTCTGATAGGTTGAGTTCATACAGAAACTATGATGGGAGTGCAAGAAATGAAATAGACACCCAAAGGTCTGGGATCAAATTGAAAACCCCTGTAGTATCCAGTAGACCAACAAGTTCAAAGATGACACGTGCTCAAAGTTTTGACAGAGATCTATTAAATAAAAAGAATGGAAATATGATTCCAAAATCAAATAAGCCAAACAGTAATCTTAAAAATAATAAAAAGAACTCGCCACATCCCTCATCTCCACACCTTAGGAAGAGATTATCAAAGTCTAATAGTAATCTTGCCCATTCTAATTCTAGTTTGTTTTCTCAAAGTTCCAATCAAGACCAGTCTGGAGGTATAACGGTAGACAGAAGAAAAGTCATCTTATCTCAGAGAACAACTCCTTCACCCAGTTCACCAACAAAAAATGACACAGCCAAAGTTGAAGCTGTCCAGAGCAGCAGGAGCAGTCCGGTAAAGAGTTCTGGCGATGGAGATGATAGAAATATACAGGAATCATCATTGCCATCACATACTCAAATAGATTTCAGTGACTATTACTCTGATGATAAATTACAATATGGTGATGCTGGTGAAGTTTCATTTGATAGGACAGACTCTGTTGGAGATATAAATCTTTGCACAGCAGTATCATCTTGTGACAGGGATACTGATAATCAATTTCAGTCAGCATTACATGAACCAAAAAGTGAAAAGCTTCACCTGAATATACGCCCAGAGAGTACTGGGAGTTTGGTTAATCAAAATATAGATAACAGGATCCTGACAGATGATCTTCGCCTTAATACTTGTGATACACATTTTGATGACTTAGATTTTATACAAGACTTAAGTAAAGATAGTCCCAAAATAATTCAAAATGAAAACAAAGATAGCCATGAAGATGAAGATATTAAAACTTCAACACCTGTGCCAAATTCTCTTCATGACATTCCATTGTGTAGCTCTTCTCCAAAACTATTGAAGGTAAGATTAAACATAAGAGTTGGTTTGCTGTACTCTGTGTACATTACTACCAGTTTAATTTTTGCATTTATCTTTATATTGTATATGTCTGTTTACATCTCTGTGTCACATAATCCGAGATTTTTTATTGGAAAAAAAAAGACACTTCACAGAACAGGCTTTCATTTGGGCAATGTTTCAATCATTTAAGATCTTTATCATTAAAGATCGAAATTTCAGTAAAAGTCTCATCTGAAAAATATGTATCCTTCAATATTTTCAGTAGTATGCCATTTAATCTCAGCTTATTCATTATTTCTGCCTTATGTGAGTCAAAGCATATCTATTAAGACAATTATACAGTGGTTTATCCTTTCTAAAAACTCAGCTTCAAATCATCATTATTTTTGAAACGTTTAAAATTATCCCTTGTCAAGTTGGTTTGGCACTTGTACTGCCAGTTGTTGCCGTAACTATATGTACGTAATGGACTTGCTGTCTTAGAAAACCACAATACTTCCCTCAGGAAAGGTTTGCTGATACCAGTGAGGAGCTCATGATCCAAGGAATTGGACCTGTGCTTCCTTTCCTTTAATCAAACCTGAATACCTCACATTTCCTCATGTACTGTATGACCCCATAAGGGTTTAGTGTTTCCCCCATAATCATTATATAAGATGATTCTCATTGCATGGTATAAGGAATATAAGTTGGATCAATTTACATTTTGATTACTATTATTACAATAGCAGAGGCAAGAGCATGAGGTTCATGGAACAAGAAAATCAACACTCAGAAGATCACAGTCCCTGAAAAATGTGCACCACCGTCCTGGTGACCTACACCACCATCCTGGTGACCCACCACCCACCTACAAAAAGGGCAAGGTACCAAAGTAAGTTGTATATAGCAAATGATTCTGCTCAAATTAGATTCATGGTGATAAATAAAAAACAATGGGGTTTTTGTTTTCAATCAAGATGGCTTAAATTTTTTGATTACAACCCCTTCAAGGGAGTGGTAAGGGGCAGCCTTAATGATGGTCAGGGGCTCTTGATATGAGGAATTCATCTGTAATTCCCTTCACTTCCTTGGACCAAACTTGATTATCTGCCATTCTCCAGGTTATGGGTTTAGCACTTCCTCATGACTGTAATAAAAATAATAACCTTGCCTGTATAAGATTTATATTATCAATGATATGATTCCTTCAGATACCTCTTGGCTCGCAAGGAAGAAGAAAAGCGCTTAAAAGAGTTAGCCTTGGCTGTTGACCCAGACTGTCCTCCTGGACATACTCCATTACCTGATCATGAGCGACGTAACACATTACATCTTCTGAAGAAAAGTAAGTGTTTATGACATGTATTAATTTTTGTATTTTAAATGAAATGCTTAGCCACTAGTGGCTTCATCAGACCTAATACAGAGTAAGCTAAAACAGGGTATGATATATATATATATATATAGTAAAAAATGCAGGGGACCAGTAGCAAGCAAGGGTGAGGTGAGGCAGGAGATGCATCAGGGTGCAGAAAAATTGGTTGGAGAAATATATGAAATAGGTTGGCTTTGACTAGGACCTCACTGGCATGGGCCAGTATGCCTGCTGCATAACTTCTTCCTGCTCAACATAAATGTAATGGCAGATCCTAGTGTGAGTAATAATCTTATAGGTAGGAGTCTGGGAAAATGAAAATCCCAGAAATTTTTGGATTATGTTGGGCGTTTCAATTAAAGCATTTTCAGCAACTTCCGACTCTGTCGATCATTTCTGCAGATGACAAAATCTGTTGGGTCACTTGATATGTTAACAGTAGACAGAGTCCATTAGTTACAGAATTTTCTGTTATTATGATCACGGCTAAACATTCTCATCTCTATGCACCACATTGCTGTTACTGACCACCTGTTCTTGCTTTGCTGAACCAGTATGAAATAAATACAGTAGTATCTTGCAATAAGAAGCCCCCAATTATTTTTTTAATTGTAAGTGTTCATCTTTATCAAAGTTTTTAAAGCAGCAACAGATGGTGTTAGAAACCCATAAGAGACATAATACTAAATGCATTTGGCTTTGATTTTCATACAAGTTAATTTGTTTGTGGTTTTTCATTAATAACACAAGAGTGTAGAAAATGATACATTATTATTATAATCAAAAAGAAGCGCTAAGCCACAAGGACTATACAGCGCTGCAGGGCAGGAAGGAAGCGAGGGCATCAGGTGGCAAAAGGGAGATGGATGAGCAACAGGTTACGGATAACAGCGGGGCAGTGGATGGTGAAAGGGTAAAGGGCAGCAAGAGACTGAACCAGAAAGGGCTGAGGGGAGTGTGAAAAGTATCATCAGAGTTTGTGGAGTAAATCAGTCGTTGTCAAGAAGTCAATGAGAGAGTCAGGATTAAAGGAGGGTCCATCAGCAAGAAGGGAAGGTAAAGAGAGAGTAGGAGAACGAAGACGACGTTGGAGGTAAATTCTGCGTGCTCGTTGATAGAGAGGGCAGTCTAACAGAATGTGGCTAATCGATACTGGCACTTGACACTGCTCACAGAGAGGAACAGGGTGCCTCTCCATGAGATACCCATGAGTAAGACGAGTGTGGCCAATGCGAAGGCGGGAGAGAGTGGTCTCCCACCTCGGCACTGATGACAGAAGACGGCCAGTAACCTATGCTCGGTTTAATAGAATGAAGTTTGTTACCGAGCAGAGTTGACCAACGTTGTTGCCAACGGGTGCGAAGGTGGGTAGCTATTGCAGCAAAATAGTCTAGAAATGGAACACCTCGATAGGAAATTGGTAGGTCATATACTGCTGACCGCGCAGCAGTGTCTGCCTGTTCATTGCCCTGTACGTCGACATGACCAGGGACCCAACAAAAAACAATATCTTTATGTTTGGTAGAGATACGGCGTAGCCAAAGTTGGATACGGAGAGACTAGGGGATGAGATGTATCAAATTTTCGTATAGCCTGTAGAGCACTAAGGGAGTCTGAGACTACTACAAATGATGACACAGGCATAGATGCGATACGAATAAGTGCTGCAAGAATGGCATACAGTTCAGCAGTAAAAATGCTAGCTGAAGATAGTAAATGCCCTCGTACGACGCTGTCCGGAAACACTGCTGCGAATCCGACGCCGTCTGAAGACTTAGAGCCATCTGTGTACACAGCGGTGGCATGAGAATGAGAGTGGAAGTGATCAAGAAAAAGAGAGCGGGAAGCCACCGTAGGCAGTTGAGCTTTCGAGCAAGGGAGTGAGAAAGAACAGACCCGAACAGCTGGAACTTCCCAGGGGGGTAGGGAAAAGTGAGATGCTACATGAACATATAAAGGTGGTAACTGAAGGGAAGACAAGAGTGAAAGTAGGCGAAGAGAAAAGGGACGGAGCAAACAGGGGCGGCGAACGAAATAAGAATGTCTACTAATATCGGTGACCATTCTATAAATGGAAGGATTGTGTAGATCGTGAGAGCGTACATAGTAACGAAGGCAATGGGCATCACGGCGATCAGACAAGGATGGAACATTTGCTTCTGTATAGAGGCTCTCAACAGGGAAGAGCGAAAAGCACCAAGGCACAAACGTAAGCCTTGGTGATGGATAGAGTTAAGGCTAGAGAGAGTAGCAGGAGAGGCCGCGGAATAAATCTGGTCACCATAATCGAGTTTCGATAAAACGAGGGCTGAATGTAGGCGAAGCAGAGTTCGACGATCAGCTCCCAGGAAAGATGAGCAAGGGTTTTAAGAAGGTTTAGCCGGCTGTGACAAGTTGCCTTCAGAGAGGTAATGTGAGGTTTCCAGGTTAACCGACGGTCAAAGAGAAGGCCTAGAAACCTGACTGTATCACGTTCGGGGATACGGGAGACCATAGAGATACAAAGGATGATCGGAGATAACAGAGCGTCTAGTGAAAGTAATTTGGTGAGTTTTGGTACTTGAAAATTTAAACCCATGTGTGGTGGCCCAAGTGGAAACACGGTCGACCGCATGCTGGAGAGAAACTGCAATAAGGTGACAGTCAGCGCCTGCACAAGCAATAGCGAAGTCATCAACATAGAGTGATGACCAAATATTGGGTGGAAGAACAGAGGCCAAATCATTTATAGCAAGGAGAAAAAGTGTTGTGCTTAGAAACACATCCTGAGGGACACCTTCAGCTTGGACGAAGTCCGGGGAAAGAACATTATTGACTCGAACACGGAAATGTCTGTCAGTTAAAAAGTTCTTAAGGAAGGATGGTTAGATTGCCTCGGAGGCCTAAGGAATGGGCCTGGGCCAAAATATTATACCTCCAAGTTGTGTCATATGCCTTCTCAAGGTCAAAAAAATATGGCAATAACTGAGTGATTATTCGCAAAGGCATTACGAACATACGTATCCAAGCGTAGTAAGGGTCTATGGTAGAACGACCCTTACGAAAGCCATATTGACTAGCGGAGAGACTGTTGTGAGTCTCTAAATACCACATTAAACGTCGATTTACGAGGCGTTCCATCACTTTGCAAACTGCACTTGTAAGAGCGATGGGGCGATAGTGGGAGGCATCATGTCCTGTAGTACCCGGTTTGCGGAAAGGAGAGACAATGGCAGATTTCCACAGCTGGGGAAGAACTCCTTGTGCCCAAATAAGATTGAAGAGGTGTAAGAGGACTACAAGGGCTGACCGATGTAAATGTTGTAACATACGAATATGAATGTCATCAGGCCCAGCTGCCGATGATCGGCAAGCTGAGAGCGTTGCCTCCAGTTCTTGAAGTGTAAAAGGCACATTATACTGTTCTTCTCCGAGAGAAGAAAAGTCCAAGGGTACTAACTCTCTGGCAGACTTTGAGGAAAGAAACGAGGGGCATAGATGGAGCCCTCGGGAAATACGGACCAGATGTGTGCCAAGTTCAATGGCAAGTCGAGAGGGTTTGCTATATCAACACCAGTGTCCCGTAGAACAGGAGCCGGGTCAGGAGAGTATTTACCACTCAATTTCCTCACTTTTTTCCAGACTGCACTCATAGAAGAAGCAGAGGTGATGGTGGAAACATAGTCTCGCCAACAAGTGCGTTTAGCTTCACGGATGACACGGCGAGCGATCGCACGCTTCTGCTTTAAAATCAACAAGTCTCTCAGCGGTTCTATTGTACCGGTACCTGCCCCATGCAGCACGTTTCAAACGTACTGCACGAGCACAAGCAGGAGACCACCAAGGCACGCACTTCTGAGAATGCCTGCCTGAGGTGTGGGGTATAGAATGAGAAGCTGCGGTATAAAACTGATGTCGAGAAGATGTGTAGGAGCTCATCAATGGAGGATGAAGAAGGAACCTCACTAAAAGCAGTGAGGTGTGAGTAAAGATCCCAATTTGCCGATCAAATTGCCAGCGAGGGCTACGGGAAGGTGGTGAATAGGAAGGAGAAGTAAGAATGATCGGAAAATGATCGCTGTCATGTAAGTCTGGTTAGAACAGACCAGGTGAAGTCTAGTGCTGTGGAGGAAGAGCAGACTGATAGATCGATGCAAGAGAGAGTATGAGTACGAGGATCAAAATGGGTGGGAGTACCCGTATTTTAAAACATGGAGGGGGTGAGAGGCAAGAAAAGCCTCCAACTGAATGCCACGTGAGTCACAATGAGACCCCCCCCAGAGGAAATGGTGGGCATTAAAATCACCAAGTAACAGAAGTGGTGGTGGTAAGGATGAAACAAGAAAGGCAAAGTCTGGGATAGAAAATGCTCGAGAAGGTGAGAGATATAAAGAAACATATTGTAAACCACTTATTCAAGTGGATACGGGCTGCAGTGTAATGCAGCGAGGTATGGACAAATAGTTGACAGTACGGAATATCATTGCGTAGAGAAGGGCACTTTCATTAAAGGTCCCATCTGAGAAAGGATCGAAGAATACAATAAATTATAGCCTGAGATAGGTTGGAAAACAGCCGAGTGTAATTTTGGTTCTTGTAAGCAAGCACCAACAGGGGAAAACCTGGAAAGCAACATCTGAAGCTCACCCCGATTACCCTGAGGCCGCGGATATTCCACTGTAAATAGGCCATGATTGGCGATGAAGAAAATATCAGGAATCTGTAGGTAAAGGCACCTACGGACTAGAGGGGTTAGAAAAGTCAACGTGTGGTGGCATTGGAAGATGTTCAAGTAGCGAAGGAACGGAGCGTTGCGAAGAATGGGGTTGTGAAGATGGAGGAGAGGGAAGAGAAGGAACAGGAAGTGAATCAGTGTCCATTGAAGGTTTAGTCTCTGCAATATATTCTGAAATGGCTTCAAGTGTTTCTGAATTCAAAGATGTATGGGGAAACCATATTGGAGATAGGAGGAGGAGGGTGAGTAAAGATTGGGACAGTAATGGACTGTACCAAAGTAGAGGGGGAGGGAAAAGTGTAAGGGACTGGAGATGAAGTGTGGGGGGGGACAGAAGAGGTAGAAACCTGGGAGGTGACAGAAGAGGGAGAAACTTGGGAGGGGACGGGGGTGGAAGGCATAGTACGAGGAGGAGGGTGAATCTCCACACTTGTAATAGAGCCAGAGAGAGAGGGGAAGAACTAGGTACAGAGACTGGAAAGGTAACGTGTGGAGGTGGAAGAAGGGAAGGAAGGGGCAAAGAAGATTTGAGCAATGTGGATTTTTTGGACTTCTGAGTAGAGGGGCGATTGGTATTAGGTGTCGTACGAGGTCTTGTCGATACTGGGGCTTGTGAGGAAGGACGCGAAGATGTGAGAACAGACTGAGTTGTAGTCGGGACGTCAGAGCCAAGGACAGCAAAAGGATTAGATGCCGTAATGGCTATGGGAGGGGTAACAACAGAGGAGGCTGCAGAAGATGGGACCCCAGAAGTGGGGGGATGTTTGGAAACACGAGAATAAGAAACACGGGGTAGTCTCCCTTGGAGGCGGAGATGAGTAACTGCCATAGCATAAGGGAGACCTTCTGCCTCTTTGAGGCAACGGATTTCACGTTCATTTAAGTAGACCTGGCAACGGCGGGAGTACGAAGGGTGAGCTTCATTACAATTAAGGCAAGATGGAGGTTGACTGCAAGATGTATTAGAATGGTTGTCGGCACCACAGACTGGGCATTCGGCCATAGATCTGCAATATTTCGCTGGGTGACCAAAACGCCAGCAATTTTCTACATTGTTGCGGTGTAGGTATCACCTTTCGAACTTGTAACCGATGTCCCGCGACATATACAGAGGACGGGAGTTCTCGGCTGTCAAAAGTTAAACGAGCCACATTGCAAGGGTAACGTCTCCGCCCCCGGGCAGGAAGGACATAAGTGTCTACTTTGAGGATTGGGAGATCCTGGAGTTCCAGCTGTTCAAAAATGTCATTGCCACATGACTGGAAATTCTGTTGGACTATGGTATGGGCAGAATGACAGTACCACTACAAGAATTGAGAGAAAGATGTTTTTCAATAGTGATAGGAGTAGTATCGATATTCGAAAGGAGAGAAAGATCATGAGCTTGGGTAGCATTCTGGACAGTGACGATGCGCGTACCGCTCTTGAGAGCGTGAAATGAAATATCTCTGCCAACATGACGCAGGAGCGCTTTGGCAATACTATGGTCAGAAAGGTAGGCAGAAGAAGAAGTTGGTCTTAAAGTAAAGAATTTAGTCCATTGTGTGGTCCGAAACTGAGCGTGGAGAGGGAGTGCTTGACGTGTCGGTCGTTTCCGAGTAGAATGGGAAGGTAACGACGGAGCATCATCAGGAGATTGACGTTGGCGTTTAGGAGTAGGACCGGAGTTGGTCGGCATGAAATGGGTGGGCGATTCGAAATTGCCATACCGTAGAGGGAGAAGCCGGAAGCATAGTCAAAGGAGAGCGGAGTTCAGACAAATCGAAGGAGTCAGTCGAAGCCCCGGTACCTGAAGCGGGTGAGGAAACAGCACCAGCAAGAGGTACAGGGGCATCAGGAGTGTCCGAAGAGTGGTCTAAACACAAGGCAGGGTCAGAATGGGGTTGCGGTATTCAAGAAGGGGCCCGGGGGTAGTGGTTTCATGGACTAGGGCTGCCATGGTTAGGTTACTCCTTTGCTTTTTGTTTTTAAGAAAAAAAAGAAAGAAGAAAGAAAATAAAAACAAAAAAAAGAATAAAAAAAGGGGGGAGCGGGGAGGAATAGTTCCCAGGAGGAATGAAAGGGCCGGAAAATCTCCCTCCGCGCCCAAGAGGACTCGACACCGCTAGTAGCGCAGATGCAGCATGGAACCCGTGCCATACCCTACCCTTCATGCCAGTAAACCAGCAATCCGGGGATAGCAACCTCACATCTGCCGAGCTACCTCGGTGGACAAAAGAGGGGCGGCCGGATATCCGCCACAAAGCATACCTCCTTCAGCCACCACCCCGGAATCCGAAAGGTGGCTTCCAGAGATACACCCGTCGCCCAAAAGACACCCAAAGCTACTCCGGGATACCGGGAGAGGGATCGGGACATCCCTAGGCAATCCAGATTCCACGGCCAAACTACGCCACCGCCAAGAAACCTCAACGGAATGGGATCGACCCCGGTGTCCTTTCCCCTACCTAGGAACTAGCACGCCTGTGGGAGAAATCACGAAGGCTAAAAAGAGGAAGGGCAAAAGGGAGGGGTGAGGAGGAGGAGGAGGAATGGAAAAAGGGGAGGATGGGATAGGGGAGGGGAGAATGGGGGGTAATTAGGTTCGGTCTGAGGAAGAAGACCGACAGGGCTAATTCCTCAGACCAAGAGCCTCTTCACCACGCCAAGGAGCCCCCCTTGAAGAGGAGAAAATGATACAGGTTTGTAAGGTATAACATTCAAATAATTCTTTCCAACATTTCACGTGGGTCTTATTCCTACATTTCTCAATGACAGGTCAAACTGAAGTAATGAGGGAGCTGTCAACACTACCAGTGGCTCAAGATACACTCAGACTTAAAAAATTACGCCATGATCTGGAGGCCAAACTTACACAGATTGAAGATGGACTGAGGATCTTTTCTCAACCTCAAGTGTATGTCATGAATGATGAGTAAACTTAGTAGATAAAAAAAAATGCAAATTAGGACTGAAGCTATTGAATACAGGTCTTATGTTCAATTGTTCATCCTTCTACTGGTTCCTTGATGCTGGTGAGAGGATCCTGATCCAAGGAATTGAGTGTGTCCTCCTCCTTGGATTGAACCTGATTGCTTCTTGTTACCCAGGCACTGTACAACCTTTATGGGTTTAGCGCTTCCCCTAAATAAAATAATTATAACACTAATATTATACTGTATTGAATATAATTGCATTTTCTAAGTTCTAAGTAAATTTTCTATACAGATTTTTGGGATATATAATGGGAAAGTAGAAATCCCTATTAACTCTACAGACTAGCAGCAAGGTGTATAAGTCTCATCTGGTGTTAGGTTCTCTTTCCAATGCAGTCTTCAGTGAGACTGCAGACTGAGGACAGGGGACACATCTATTCCATCCATAAACACTTGCATGGAGTCCCGTGGCTTGCAATGTGCCATTGACTAACCATATTCTAATAACAAACCTTTGGCTCAGACCTTAATGGTTTAGACAGGTTTTTTTATAATTACAAGGGTGTTTGTATATGCCTCAAATAACATTTCAGTTGAAAATTTAAATGTGGTTTATCTTTTGGTGTTATTAAGTGATACTACTCTTAACCTCTAGAGAAACTTTCGTTTTTCTTTTTGGGCCACCTACCTTGGTAGGATATGGCCGGTTTGTTGAGAGAAGAAGAAGAAGGAAAAGAATGATTTTATTTGTATTGTGGGTTTAGTGTCTGAGACTGCTGTATATGATAATCAGTTGCAATTTTTTATCATATGGAGCATTAAAGGCTTTCGGTTATAGCACTTGGTAAATTCCACAACTCTTCCTCACTTTCCTTGTACAGTATGACTGTTAACTGACAACACACTTGCTCACCCACATACACTAGAATTATAATATAGTACTACTATATAGTCACACCTGTTGAACTGAAAACTCAGATTCCTGAAACCATCCCTGTAGCAACATGTATTGTGTTAATTTACCATATACAAACAAGCCTTGATTTAAGCACTCCCTTTATAAGATGTCACATTGAGGTCAAGACAGTGTATTATTCAGTGTTTTATAATTTTTGCAAAAAACTTTTAACATGATCACTTATTTCAAAAATTTTAAGAAACTCTTATGACATATTTCAATAAAGGCTTGATATGAATCGTCCTAAACCTATATTTGATGATAATTAAATGTATTATTCAGTGTAGTAATATCTTTTGTAAAAGGCAGAATGTTTAATATGCTTATGGTCTTTTATAGAATCAACCCATTTTTGAAAGAGGCTAACCTATACTGACAGAAATTTTCACATTCAATAAGCCATATGTAACAGCAGATGATGCTGTGGCTTAACACTTCCTGTGTTTATAGTGTCTGTCATGTTTTGCTGACATGCAAAGAGGGAGAGATGATTGGTAGTGTTAGTGTAAGAAAAGATTTTATTAGTGACCCAGACAGTTACCATTCACTTGCTGAAATGTCTTCCCTACTTAGTCCTATGTAACATCAGTATTTGCCACTTGGATGCAGTAAGCTTTTACTCCCACCAGAATCATCTGCCTTAATGCTCATCATTCACTTACATAAGAGAAGTTAACTTTTAGTAGTAAAAATTACAGAGCAAGAATGTGAAAGTGGCACATACTAAGCGCAGAGGCTTCAACGCTCATTAAGCATGTGTAAAATTGGAATGGCAGAGAGTGGTCTTTGGGATTTGATGAGCTGAAACAGTGTGAGCACACTAATACTGCATTTTATGAAGGGAATCAGGAAAACCAGTTAACCAGGATGGAGTTTAGGTGCAAAGTAGAATACATACCTGCATTTTAAAAGTGGTTTGGGATGTTGCAGTTTAGTGGGCCATCATTGGATCATTGATGTTGGTGCCTTCCTGAAAATGCTGTTTTTTTCTGTATTGCAACATTAGAGAATGTTTAAGCAGTTCATTAACTTTCTTGTGTAGAACATTCCCTTACCTTCATAGTGTTCATTTCTCTCTTTTTCTAAATGCTACTGTATTATACACACTCTTTGCATTATGTATTTTAATTTTCTTGACATCATTTCTAATAAACAAGAAATTACTGTTTATTCTTATGGAATACTTAGTAATTTCTTGTTTATTAATATTTGTTTATATGGTATGTATTTTAAGTGTTCCAGTACATTTTCTTTTTCTTTATCAAGTTTGTTACATTCATGATGCAGCGACATTCTCATTTCCTTGTTTATTCTGTCGTATGCAATATATTTCATGTAATGTTAGTAGAATTACTGACAATATGTTAGGTAAATGGACACAAGTGCAACTAATGTGACATTTCACTGTGTCAGGCCATTACAAACAATACAAGGACACAGTGGGCAAATATAGGTATTAGAGTGAGCTTGACAAAGCTCCTGTAGAGTGAATCGTTGACACAATACAATGTCGCATTAGTTGCACATGTGTCCTTTTACCTAAAATACATTTTAAGTTGAAATTCACATTATTAAACTCTGGTGATAGGCATTTCTTTATGGTGCAAAAAATTTATTAATGCTGGTTTGTACTTCAGTTTGGTGCTTTAAAATATGTTTGTATGTGAGATTTAATGTACCATATTGTGGAAAGCTTAAAATGGGCATCTATTTTGTTAGGATAAGAGTCTTATTTTGCATGAGATGTGACCATTCAAAGCATATAATATAGGCATTAGTAACTTGTCAACATAAGAGGTATTATCTTCTGGTGTTTGTTTCATGGACTACTATTTTAAGAATTTGAGAAGGGTTATCCAAATATTTCCAGCTAATTTTGTTTTTTTTAGTTCTTCTCAACACTTCTGCATACATTAACATCTGTAAGAATGAATAATTCAAAGAGCAGTCTTGCTATATACTGTGTATTAGATTCAGAATTTTAGAAAAATTGAAAATACCCTACAGTTTATTAATGTTTTTCCTTCCTGTTTTGTCTTTGTACGATGTAGGACCCCATCAAAACCTGTCTGTTTTTCTGTTTTTGACAGAGATACAGTAATACTTTTTGCTCTGATACATACTCTGTCCTAACATATACAGTGGACCCCCGCTTAACGATCACCTCCAAATGCGACCAATTATGTAAGTGTATTTATGTAAGTGCGTTTTTTACGTGTATGTTTGGGGGTCTGAAATGGACTAATCTACTTCACAATATTCCTTAGGGGAACAAATTCGGTCAGTACTGGCACCTGAACATACTACTGGAATGAAAAAGTTCGTTAACCGGGGGCCCAAACTGTATTGGTACTCTGCTCTGACACACAGTCTGCTGTAACATATTCTTTGATAACATGGACAGTACTCTTACTTTTAACACTCACACACTGCATTGAAACATTTTTTCCTTTCCCAAATCCAGTTCTTCTCTGCTGTTCTCTAAACTGTCTTTCTAAATCTTCATTATCCTACCAAAAGTTTTCCAATATCCTTTGCTAATTTTACCTTGTTTAGCCATGTCATGTACTGTCCATTGTAACTTGCTTTTATCAGCATACTAAATTGAGTATATATGATAAAAAAGTTACATGAACAAGTTGATGGATACTGATTAGTATCTGTTTTAAAACTGTTCATTGAATACCTAATGACTGCCTTATATCTTGTAATATAAAATGAAGTGAAGCAATAGTTTTTTGTACATTTTTGACATTGGAAAATTATATTTTTTTATATGACTGCATATATGCACTGATATATGTATTTTGTGTATCTTTGTAGGAACCCAGACAAGTTTTTATGCTGTTGTTTGACCCTTTTAACTTAGCTAGGTAATTATTCATATACAGTAAACTATAGAGAAAGATAAATTTTGAAAAAAAAAAAATGTTAGAAAAGAGAAAATAAGAACCAAACCTTTTATTCAAGATTGTAAAGCAAGGTAAATGTAAACCGTCAAGAATGACGCTCACTGTATGAATTGTCACTTTAGAGGAAAAATGTAAGGTAAATAAATTTGAAGCCACAGGGGACGTGTACAAAAGAAAAGATCATCACTGAATAGGATTTAAAGCTCGCTCACTGAAGCTTTGACATGAGTCAGACATTCGCCTGCTGACAGAGGGAGGCTGCGACTTGACGATGTCGACCTCTTCTCTGTTTCAACTCTGTTGGAGAGGATGACATCGTCAAGCTGCAGCCTCCCTCTGTCGGCAGGCAATTGTCTGACTCTTGTCATAGCTTCAGCTTCCCTACAGAAGCTATTATTGGACTTTAATCAAAATAAAAGCTGTAGAACCAGACGAGATATCACCATAGATTTTGAAGTTCTTTGCAGAGTCATTAAAGTCTTCTCTAGTCAATAAAAAAAAGCAAAACTAAATTACGTACGTACAAAAATAATGTGGAAGCCTTAGTTGATTATAATATCACTGAACTGGAAAGGGAAATGTGTGAAATGATAAGTTCTGGAGTATTTAAAGAAAAAAGGCACTTTAGATGTTGCAGATTTGAACCCCAAAGACCCAGTTGAAATGGACAACAATGAAATATCCAAAGAGGACTTAAAGTAGCTAATGCTAAATGTGCTGAGGACATGTGTGCTTCTTTGTTAATACTGTTCCTGTAGTTTATAATGATGATGATAATAATAATAATATGCTGGTTGGATTTTACTAGAATGTGCAGAAAACTAAGCTATCAACTCTGGAAATATGGAATCAATACATACAGCCCTGTACACTCATCACAGCCCAGAAAGAAATACTGTGAAGGCTGGAGCATACAGCAAGCATGTATGACCATGTTAGATCAGGGTCAGTAGAGAAAAGTTGTTTAAAAGATTTGATGTGCTGTTGGAGTGTGAGGATGGTGACATTTTTAAAGGGATTCCGGGAAACTGGTTAGTCAGACTTGAATTTGAAGGTCAGAAGTACAGTGCTTGCACTCTGAAGGAGATGGGGACTTTACGGTCCATTGGGTTAACTGAATTGTGGTGTCAGCACATTTTCTGGCTAGATAGCTACCGAATGAGTGATGATGAATATTTCCTTATTTAAATCACCCTCCCTTGATGGGATATAGCGAATGTGGTAATTTTTTAATGTAATGTACAGTATATAAGTAATATATTTATGTAAAAACTAACATAAACATCATAGTGTCTATCACCGAGACTACAGTACCCAAATTTGTGCCCTTGATAAATGTGTACGTACAGAAATAAGAAAATAAAATTGAGAAGAGGTTGGAGAAACTTTTCTGGAAGGTAATACTGTATAGTATGGGGAAGTGCAAAAACCCAAGGGGGTCACTTAGTGCCTGGGGGAATTAACCCCTAAAACAGTCCAAACGTATATATACGTCCACTCGCGTAGGCCCCCAGATTTTTGAGAAAAAAAAATTGTTTTTTTTAATAGGAAAAAAGAGCTTTATGGTACCCAGGAAATCCCCAATTATTTTAATGTGGCACACAGTGAGTGCGCACACCCATTTCTCATGTCTAGGCGACTCAAGGCTTATCGTGGCAATGATGAATGAATGACAAAAAAA